ACCCCTCCTAACTCCTGTTTCTGCCTCTAATATGTCTCTGACTAGACCTTCATGCCTGAGAAGGTGTCCTACCAACCTATCTCGCCTATTTCTTATTGACTTCCATAGAGTCCTCTGTTCTCCTACTTTTTCTAATACCTCTTCATTTCTAACCTTCTCTATTCGCATCATTCACCGGTAACATCATTTCGAACGCTTCTAACCTGTTCTTTTCCGTCGCGCCCACCGTCCATGTTTTGCACCCGTATAACGCCAACGATTTTTTTCGAATTTCTAATAGAAGCATAAAAGTGACTCCTTTTTTATTGAAAGCACCTCAACCTTGCGCTATCCTCTGCTTTATATCCCTACTACTCCTTCCGTCATGACTTATGAGAACACATTCACCCATTGTTTTTACCCCCTGTTTAAAATCAATCACGTAGGGTGAACGTAAGTCGTAGCTAACTTTGTCTATTGAATAACATACGTTCCAGTTTATTTGCCTCTTGCGATACACCAGCTGGCACTAGTCAAACTGTTTAAATTTTATAAATAAAATGANTTAGGAGCCTGTATCTCAAGCTACATTGGTTTCCGCACGGAATTAATGCTACCACACGATTCTACTTGGTGAGTACTACCTACCTGACTAAACTTCATGTCTCAATTCCAATGTCAACTAATGTAAAAAATGACCATTTTTTTTTTTTACTTTTGCTCGCAGGTTCTTCACTACGCTGTGCTGTCCGGTAACATCGAAATAGTCAATTTAATTATAAAACAAGGGGCTAAATTAAATTACGACGAAAGTTTCGATTTGGGAAAGCCTAGTCCTCTAGATCTAGCCATCCTTAAAGGAGACCCCGCTATAATAAGGCTTCTAATTGAGTCAGGTATAAAATAATTATTAACGTAAAGAAGAACAATGATCAAATGTTTTTATTTTGTTTAAGGAGCTAACGTGAACTTTACATCCCCCATACTCGGATCTCCCCTCCATGTGGCCTGTGCCGATAATATTCCAAATCGATACGAAATCATAAGGGTAATGTACCTATCATTTTCAAAAGAACTAATCACCCTTCATATTTAAATTTATGTGTAATAAATTGCAACTGNGAGTTAGAAATAAGTTAATTAAAGTAGGGAACCAATAAGATGGTAGTAAAACCTGGAAATTTAGTTTAGAAGAAATACCTAGAAATTAAGTTTGACCCCAAATCACCGAAGAAACTGACCATAAAACTGCAATTAGGAAAAGTAAGAATTATAGACGTCATGCAGTTAGTATACAGAGTTGAATTGTTAAAAGGGATGATAGCAAAGTACGTAGGCAATTAAATAGTCGTTTAGCTGAAGAATAGGTATAGAGTAGGTATAGAATAGAGTAAGTATAAAAATAGAATTATAAGAAAAGAATATTTACACAATAATAATACAATAATACAGAAATTCCAAACACACAAATACATGCATCACAGACATACCAAAAAATATATACAACCACACACTCAATACCTTACTCTAAAAAATTAATTACTTTCTTAAAAACTATCAAATCGCCACAAACTTTTAATTATTCTCAAGGTTACGAAGACGCACAAAATCTATACGGAGTGTTCTAAAAATCGTTAAAAACAAGCACCTGCGGGTACTAATCGATTCTTTGGAAAACTCTAAGACATTTCTTCCTTTGCAGTTTTTTAATCCGATGCCTAGTTGTCGAGTAATCGACAAAACAAAATCATCGAATCAGAGCGCACCCTCACCGCTGCAACAAGTACGCCCCAATTAATCGCGTACTTCTATTTGCAGCGAGAGTGTGCGCCCTGATTGGCCGATCTTTGATTGACATTATCTTGCTTATTACGTATCAGATCGAAAAGGCGTAGAGGAAAAAGTGTCTTAGAATTCCACAGCGAATCGAATGGGATACTTTTTATTTTTAAACAAAAACCTCGTATTGTATTTGCAGGTGATTATGAAAACTCAATTCCGAGATCCTGATGGTGTATTGAATTATCTCCAAAACGTGGCAGCAGTACCAAACACCGATTCGATATTCTTTATGTTATTAGAGGCGTGCGAATCGTTCGATATTTGTATGATAAAACGAAATAATGTGATATCACCGCAACAAAAAGAGGCACTACTTGAATTAGCCGGTTGCCCTTTAAGTCTGAGACGTCAAGTGAGACTGTATCTACGAAGACTTCTTAAAACGAAGTTGTTACATACAGCGCACACCTTCGAACTACCCAAAACCCTGGTTAAATATCTGCTGTTCGATTACAGCTGAATTTGTGCCTAAAAATGGCAAAAATGATTCGTTGCATGGACCGAAAAGGTCCAACCTTCTTTTTTTACCTTTTGTAACAGGCAAAAGGAATATTTGTGACCGATGAAGTTCTTTTCTATCCTGCGTTACACTAATAAATCGATAAGAAAAGTTCTTTAACTCCATGCAAAAAGGCGTGCTGTCAAAACAATCATTTAATACTCATTTGTTTTATTAAACAATAACTTGCGAAAATAATTGTACATTACGTATTATATATAATAGCTGTTTTATGTGTATTTCGTAAGTGACCATTGTTCGGAAATTGGAATGTTAATAATTAATTATTAAATAACATTGACTTTTTTAAACCACTATAAAACATAATATATAAGTATTTTTGGTGCGTGAAGTGAATTTACTACTAAACCAAACGCTACTACTACACTAACAGATATAATTTAAATATGATTACAAATACTAACCATGGAACGTGTGAACTAACTAACATACCCTACTAATCAAGCATTCTAACATTTTTTGTGTTGTTGTTGTCTTTTTTGATAACAAAATTCTGCATAACTAACTTGACAAAGATAAAAACTATCTAAATATTATAACAAATGTTCATGTACAGATTTTCGCAAGTCAGTCGAGATAATCCATTCGCCAATTGTTCTGCCCTAACCGCAATTTACTGCTGCTTATATGGTCGCGAAGCCCATGAGATTTTCAGAGACCTCTACTAACGCAATTTTCTTCGACTTTTTGTGCGAATTAATTAATATATGAATAATATTTCTGACAACCGTGACCGATGTTTATTTTACTAACTTAGCGTATACCAAAATAATACTTGGAAAGCAAAGACGTCTCTTGAATACTTTCAATATATAAACA